GGGGGAGGTCGCCAAAAAAGTTTGCAGTGAAAAAAAAAATTTCAGTAAAGGTGCCCTTGGTGTGCGTCCGCCCCCCTTTGCCTTATTATCGTTCCGGCGTCCCTGCATTTATGTTAACCAATTGAGTGCCAGCACTCTCCTGTTGACGAGTAAAATTGTCAGTGTTAGACACTTAGACAAAGTAACATAATAAAGTAGGATGCAATGCAACCTAATGGTTCATTATGGTATGTCAGATAAATTGACTCGTGCAATTTTTCACATATGAGTTCTGGCATTTACAAGCCCTAGTTTGAAACCAACTTTAAAGCCTACAACAGGTAATTGCAGCCAACTATTAAGTTAACCCATTAGGCTGCCATGCACCCAAGCTTGTTATTTTACTTTCAGACCCTCTAATGGTAGGCAATTTTACTTCTCAAGGGGACAGTCTTGTCCATTAATGCATTAATTGTGTTTCTTAACTCCCGAAGTTTCATTTTACACCTTTCATTCCTACAAATACTTTTAGAACTACAACTCTAGCTAATGACTGTGGGATTTATAAAACTCTGACAAATTATGTTTGGCCAGATGAATATTGTAAACATCTGAATATAAGCCCTGGGCTTATATTTGTTTGTACTTTGTAAGCATTTTTGATGGACTGAGCTGTTGGAATCCTGGCCCTCACTGCATTAATAAATACCTGTCGAGGGGCTTGCATTAGAGGTGGCTTTAATATATAGCCGGAATCGCCCGAGTAAATATGGAAGGTGGGATTATACATAGGGGGGGTTATATGTTGGGGGTTATATGTTTATGGTAATTGCTTGATTGCAATGGGTATTGAATGGTTTGAATCTGATATCTTTGGCATGGCAAAACCTTTTTTTCACTTGTCTGTCATGAATTGACAATTTAATAATACAACTACACAGTAATTATAAATAACTGCTACAAAGAACCTGGCAAAGATATCACTCAAAATTTGTCAGGGAAAATTTACTAATACTAAATAAATATAAATGTACAGTATAAAGGACTCATACGAAATCATACGCAGCCTTAAAACCCTACGAACACGTTGATCAGAATGATTTTCATATAAATATTTGGTTCACATAATATTAAAATTATAAAATTATAGCAGTCAAGAAGACAATAAATCATATTAAAATATATAATGAGACAAATTCATACAAATTTACCTTCAAAGGAAATATTGTGAAGAGATTCACTGATCTCGTCCATGATTCCGTCGTGAATAAAGCAAAATAATCAAGAAAATCGAACAATGGCTTTGAAAGTTCAGAAATCGACAGAAATTTCAGAAATCGACACGTTTTCTGCGAGGCGCTTCCGCGTCCCGTAGTGAGCAACGCACCTCGATTCCCGCGCGTGCGTCACGCAACCAGTAAGCACATCAAAGCGCCAGGGACGAGGCTGGGTGGAATATATGTGAGGTATTCGCCTTGTATTCTCCCTTTGCACACCAATAAGCCTGATTCGTTCTCCCCAAGTTGAGGCGATGTTTATCTTCTTCTAGTTGTTCAGTGTCATCGTATCGCAACTGTTCTTTCTTCATCCACCAATTGACTTGTTCCTCGGTGGTTAACACTCCACGACGACGTTCTGTTGGATGCGATCTCAAATTGAACAGAAATCGTGCTATCCAAGCAGTTATCCTCATCGCCTTCCAATAGCTCTATTTGTCGAGAACTCCGTACATCACCTCAGCTTCTCCATCCATTGCACAGCTTAACACTGCTCTTTGATCCAGCTTCAATTCAGCCATAGATACATCTGTCGCCGGCGTAGCGATCTCTGGTGGCCAGTCACTCGGGTTGGACAGCCAAAGCGGACCATTGAGCCATTCGTTTGGAATTTTGTCACCTGCGCAACCTTCTACTACCAATATGGGCTGGGTTTTCCTTAGCTCCAACTTGTCCCCACTTTATGTAACTCTTTTCCTTGATCTTCTTTACCCGATTTCGTACGAACAGCTTGTAACTCCCTTCGCCGTTGATCAAGTGTAGAGCTACCGTACTATCCAACGAACCGTAACAATCTTGCACCGGGAATCTCGTTACTACATTTCTCACGTTGTCTAGTAGATTTGCTGCCATTTGTTCCGAGACAAGTTCTAGCCTGGGTATAGTTAAGTTCTTTTTCGCCAACCGTGCCTTTGCCGTTATCAAACCTTCCGTGATTTCTTGTTCTTGGTTTACCACCGCGTAAACTGGCACAGCTGTCCCTTGGCCACTGGTATCACCGAAGGCGTGCAGATCTATCGAACAAATCTCGTCTTGATGCATTGCCAGACTTCTGGGTATTTCAATTTACACTGGAAGATTTGCATTCCATAATTGTCACCGCTTCATGATGGCTTCCGGCAGTTCTTCGTCCCAAAGACCTCGAGAGTCGCACACGTCTCTATATATGAATTTTACCGATAGGGTTACTGGTGCTGCTTGTCCTAACGGAACGAATATGGAAGCTAGCTTGCTGAGAACTGTTCTCTTAGTGTCCTCCTTTGACTCCACGTCAGGGAATACCACTGCTAATTGATCTGTGGACTTGTTCCACTTCATATCCAACAACTTTGTCTCATCGTTCTTTACGCCCAGTTGCTGTTTGGCAAAGCTTGGTTCCGTCTCGGGATCATGTCCTCCAGGTGCTTATAAACTTGGCTCGTGCGAGTGCCATTTGTGCAACTGGAAATGCGCTCTGTCAAAGATTTCAATTGCGGATGCCTTTAGCGATTCAACTTCAGTCACCGTACTACCACCACCTAGGATATCGTCTACGTATAAACTGTCCTTAACCTCGACGACGTCATCGGGGAATTCTTCTGCTACCCTCGTTAGGTGTTGATCTAGCGTTCCTCCGAGAAGAAATGGGGACTGATTCAACCCGAAAAGTGCTCTGGTAAATCGATAGACTGTAACTTCATGTGGATTTTATTCATCAATCCAGTGGAAACACAGTACATCCCTATCTTCCTCTTTGATTCTTACTTGAAGGAAGGCTTGCTTCAAGTCTCCTGATAAAGCAACTGGTTTGAAGCGATTTCGCACGAGAATATCCCACAGTAGGTTTTGCAGGACCGGGCCTGTCTCTAAACAATCAGGAAGGTGAATCATCAGACTCTCGCGCAGACGCGTCATAAAATATACGTACTTTCGTTGTCTCGGCTGACTCCTTCACCACAGGTTTGTGAGGAATATAGAATTTTCGTTCATTCGACTCTTGGGGTGCCTTCTCGATTATACCTTGCCGTTCCTGGTCCTTAATTATTTCCTGGTTCTGTTATATAAGATCAGGCTTCTTATCCAATTTCTGTACTAGATTGGTCAACCTCGCTCGACTTCCCGCTCATTGCTTGGTAAATCCTCCACTCCAGGCTTCCAGAGAAGATCAGATTCGTACCAGCCCTCTTTACTCTGTCTCAATTGCTCTTTAAAGTCCTCGTAAATTGATTGCTCTTCGTTTGGAGACTCTTGAAGACCAAGGACATCAAGATCACATAGCTTCTGGTAGTCGTGCGTCGAGGTCTTCGTAAATAACATTTTAGTAAAATCATCATCTGTTCCTTGGGACATTATGGTCCACCCGAATTTCGTAAACTCCCCCACTGGCTCTCCGGTTTGACCTACACGTGGTTGGGAAGGCGTTTTTATCTTCGCATAATCACTTGCTCCTAAGATTATGAATCGGAAGTTCTTCCTTCTCGTCTGTATCGTCCATTGTTACTCCTTTGAGGTGTTCAAACCGTTTAATTGTTTCGTTGTACTTAGGATTTGGCAAACTTAACAGATTACTTCGTTCTACTCTGGTAACTTTCGTCTTGAAGACAAACGAATCATTCACATCAGTGACTTCTAACTTGTGTACATCAATTGTTTTGTTAGATATTTGCATCATCATCTCGATTTTCCTGAACTCTCGTCGCTCTGGTTTGCTGTTAAGTCGTTGCAACAGGGCAGCAGATGCATAGGAGCTACCAGCCCCTTTGTCCAACAGCGCTCTGCATTTAATGCCCCCAGCTTTCGCCACCACCACCGGATAAATAGCTTTGCCTTCACCCTGTGCAACCAACATTTGTTGTACTGGTTGTGCCTCACATATCGATGTGTGATGTTTCTTCTTGCATCGTAGACATACCGTTTGACTCCGACAATCTGCCGCCTTGTGTCGAGCGCCCGTACCGTTGAAACACCGCTGTTTTTCTCCCAGGATCTTCCTTCGATCTCCCACTGAAACCACCTTGTTGCAGTCAGTTGATCTGTGGCTAGGGTCATCACAATAAACACATGATCTCGACTTGTGCTCTTGCTGTCTTGTTTGGAAGTTCTTTAATCTATTTGTCCACCTCTGATTTGATTTATCCAGTTCCTGATCTCGTTTAAGTGGATTTCGCTCCGTCCATTTCCTTAAGGCTTCAATGAGTTCGGGAAACTTTCAGTTCTGCCAGACATCATCCGTCCTAACCAAGTCACTCCTGATACCTTCGAGCTTGTCTAAATTCATTCTAACATACCCCGACACCTCAGTCAATTTGCCCAGAGTTTCCAATGATTGGACACTTGTTAACAATGTCTCATAGAATGCATGGATCTTGTGTGGTTGGCTACCCGGAATAGTGGGTAATCCAATAATATTCTGAACGTACGAGTTGATAACTTCGCTATCTTTTCCATATTTGGACTTTAGTGTGTTCTTTGCTCTCTCATAACTCTCTGTAGTGAAGGGCAGACCATCTACCCAAACACGTACTTTAGGATCAAGCAGTTCCTTCAAGTATGAAAACTTAGTTACTTGGGCAATGTTGGTTCTATCGATGCCTGTCTGGAACTGATTCCAGAACCGCAGCCAATCAGTTTGCAAATCACAGAAATATCTCGCCCTTTTGAAATCTAAATTCTCTCACTACCCCCCGCAAAGCGTCCTCGCGTGGTAATCACGCGCGCGAACCAAATAAGGTTAAACAAATATATATTTTTCGTATTATAAAGTACTTAAAGGTCTCCGACAAAACTTCTGCTAAAGCAGCCTTTACACAATCATACTCATTTGTTTATAAAAGCGCGTACAAAATCTCCAACAAAGTTGTATAAGTGTACTGAATTGAATTGAATTGCATTGAATTTTATTTGCCCATGTGGAAAAGTTAATATTTACAATCTTCAAAGTACAGTCTATAAGCGGACACCTCTCTTTAGCTGATACCTCTTTTAAGCGGACACATATCTCAGGTCCCATTCGGTTTCTTTAATAAAATACTATTATCATAACTCCTATTAAGCGGACACCCCTCTTTAACGGACACGGACACCTTTCTGGAGGTCCCAAATGGCACGTCAACCTCTCTTAAGCGGACAGATGACAGATTGTCTGATAAAATGTATTCAATATTCGACAATAAATAACAATTGAGATCAATTTACATGGCACATTGACAGTGACACACCAACTTGGCGCGAAGACATCAGAGCCAAGATTATTGAGGAAGTGACGAACGAGGACGGAGGACTGTGAGCCGCCAGCCATGATGATACTCAAATTACACACCTGATCACACACCTTTCTACATACCCCTTTTAAGCCGACACCCCTTTTAGGCGGACACTTAGGCGAGGTCCCGAAGGTGTCCGCTTAATAGGGGTTCAACTGTATACAATGTGACGGGCTAGGAGCCTTCATGAAACCCTTTCAGGCTTATTGTTCAAAGGCCCCTTGTTCTATAATATTTTTACAATTGTTTTATATGGTAAGTTAATCATATAATGTCGAAAGAATATAGCAATATTTAAAAATAAAAGTATAAAGTAAGGGAAATTTTAAAGTGAAAGTAATATAATGAGCTAATTGAACAAAGTTTACAGATAATAACAATTAAGTATATTTTACAAGAAAAATATTTTTGACTTTTTCTTAAAAGTACAATACTAATAACTTACTGACCAAGAGTGAGGGCAGTACGGGAAAATATCCAACCGAGGTCTTGCTGTATTGACCGAGCGATAGCGAGGTCAATACAGCAAGGCCGAGGTTGGATATTTTCCCGTACTGCCCGAACGGTTGAGGTCAGTAAGTTTTTTATTATATGGCATTGTACGTTTGTAAAAAATGGAAGAAAAGGTCACGCGAGGGCAAAGTACAAAGTCCGAAACAGTTTGCAGAAAAAAAATAATTGTAAAAAATATTCTTTGGTTAGTAAAACTGCTCACAGTACTTTTTATATAGAATACTAACACAGTTTGCATAGTATTTCAAGAAAAATACGAGGTATTTCGTCATTTAATCAAAGACAACAAATATGAAAACAATAAAATTCAATAAAATTACAAAAACAAGTACGTTTTTAGTTCGCTTCATCTCATATTTATGTCTCTTTTTATCTAACAAAAACAGAAATTTTCAGGGAAAAATTATAAATCTGTGGCTGTTTTAGTTGT